GCGGGGGATATTTAAATCCCCCGCGGATTTCCCTACTACGATAGGTGAAATTAACATGCCCCTTCCGGAAAAGGGGCCAGTGTAGACGTAGCCAATTTGTTGGACAAAAGTCAACATGGTTTCTGTAAAGGGAAATCCTGTCTTACTAATCTATTAGAGTTCTTTGAAGGGGTCAACAAACATGTGGACAAGGGGATCCAGTAGATATAGTGTACTTAGATTTCCAGAAAACCTTGGACAAAGTCCCTCACCAAAGGCTCTTACATAAATTAAGTTGTCATGGGATAAGAGGGAAGGTCCTTTCTTGGATTGAGAACTGGTTAAAAGACAGGAAACAAAGGGTAGGAATAAATGGTAAATTTTCATATTGGAGAGGGGTAACTAGTGGTGTCCCCCAAGGGTCAGTCCTGGGACCAATCCTTTTCAACTTATTCATAAATGATCTGGAGAAAGGGGTAAGCAGTGAGGTAGTAAAGTTTGCAGATTATACAAAACTGTTTAGGATAGTCAAGACAGAAGCAGACTGTGAGAGACTCCAAGAAGATCTCACCAAACTCAGTGATTGGGCAGCAAAATGGCAAATGAAATTTAATGTGGATAAGTGTAAAGTAATGCACATTGGGAAAAATAACCCTAACTATATGTACAGTATGATGGGGGCTAATTTGGCTACGACAAATCAGGAAAGAGATCTTGGAGTTAATCGTGGACAGCCTCTGAAAACTTCCACGCAGTGTGCAGTGGCGGTCAAAAAGTCAAATAGGATGCTAGGAATTATTAAGAAAGGGATAGAAAATAAGACACAGAATATCTTACTGCCCCTGTATAAAACTATGGTAAGCCCACATCTGGAATACTGTGTACAGATGTGGTCTCCTCACCTCAAAAAAGATATTTTGGCTTTGGAAAGGGTTCGGAAAAGGGCAACTAAAATGATTAGGGGTTTATAACGGGTCCCATATGAGGAGAGGTTAAAACGACTGGGACTTTTCAGTTTAGAAAAGAGGAGACTGATGGGGGATATGTTAGAGGTCTATAAAATCATAAGTGGTGTGGAGAGGGCCGATAAAGAAAAGTTATTTATTAGTTCCCTAAATAGAAGAACTAGAGGTCACCAAATGAAATTAATGGGTAGCAGATTTAAAATGAATAAAAGAAAGTTCTTCTTCACACAGCGTGTAGTCAACCTGTGGA